ACCTTCTCTTCCTTTTATTTCCATTACATTGGTGGCTGAATTTATAGTTTACAGAAGATCATTGTTATTATACAGGATTTCTATAGCGCCAACAGTTTATGTAGCATTTTACAACGTAAGGACAAACAGCAATAAAAATGAATACAGGAGGGATCAGAGGGCCCGGCTCATTACAGTTTACAATCTAAGAGAGAGAGTCAATTGATACAAAACGTAATAACTGTGGGGGATGGGCTCATGGAGAAAATACATGTGCCGTTGTTAGGTGGGGGCAGGATAGGCTTCTCTGAAGAGATGAGTTTTTAGGGATTGTTTAAAAGTGGACAGAGTAGGAGATATAGTTGGATATATTGGGGAAGGGAGTACCAGAGGATGGGAGCAGCTCCAGAGAAGTCCTGGAGGCAAGCATGGAAGGAAGTGACAAGGGAGCTAGAGAGCAGGAGGTCTTGGCAGGAACAAAGAGAAGAATTTGGTTGGTATTTTGAGACAAGGTTAGGGATGTAGCTGGGAGCTGAGTTGTAGATGGCTTTATAAGTTGTTGTACAGTAAGTATCAACGTTAACTTGGAATAAAGACAGGATCAACACATATTTTTCTGTACTTACAGAAAATGTACTTAACTTGAAAAAAGGAAACTAATGCAGACATCACATCCTAATACTAGGATATTTACTATACCATAGCAGGACATTTTTTATCTTTTGTTTAGATATATTTTATTTGACTGTGAAGTATTTGAGTAAAGACGTATTTCCCTTTTGACAAGAAGGTGGGCACTTAGGTCAATAGAAGGGTTTCCCTAAGTGATTATCTGTCAATTCATAGATTTGCTGCCAAAAAGATCCAAAGCTTTCTTCAGCATAATGCATTAGACACATTGGGGAACATTTACAGTATAAACACATTTATTATCTATTTCTACACTTGGGAATGCACTTTGCAGTTCATACATTACCTTTTGTGATTGAACATTGATTGAACCTCTTTTGTGAATTTCTGCACCCAATTTGTGAATATCTGTCCATTTTTCGCATATTTGTCACAAGCGTTTTGAATTTAATTGCAGCAAAATGAACACACTGAACTGTCGCATAATTAAGTGGCGCGACCAATTTATTAACAAATTAAATTGTATGACAATGACTTCTCAAATGCTTTTCTGCTGCCTTTTTAATTTTAGGTAAATTGCATCAAGTTGGCAAATCTGCTACACTTTTGTATAGTCTGACAAAAGGGTGAGTGCAAAGCAATACGACATATTTAATATAATTAAGGGCTCATTCACACTAGAATGCGGTGAGGAAAACCCATGTTCCGTGTCCCTTTGTGATCTGCAGCGGGTGTCAGAACAATGTAAATGGCATCCCAAACACAAGTCGCAAACACAGTGCTTTCCCACATGGAAGAAAAATATATTTGAAATATATTTTAAAAATATTCTTCCCGAATATATTGCCATATATTTGAAATACTACAATTTTGTCCATATTCAATATTATATAATATATATATATATATATATACAGTTGGGCAAAAAAGTATTTAGTCAGCCACCAATTGTGCAAGTTCTCTCACTTAAAAAGATGAGAGAGGCCTGTAATTGGCATCATAGGTAGACCTCAACTATGAGAGACAAAATGAGAAAACAAATCCAGACAATCACATTGGCTGATTTGGAAAGAATTTATTTGCAAATTATGGTGGAAAATAAGTATTTGGTCACCTACAAACAAGCAAGATTTCTGGCTGTCACAGACCTGTACCTTCTTCTTTAAGAGGCTCCTCTGTCTTGCACTCATTACCTGTATCAATGGCACCTGTTTGAACTTGTTATCAGTATAAAAGACACCTGTCCACAACCTCAAACAGTCACACTCCAAACTCCACTATGGTGAAGACCAAAGAGCTGTCGAAGGACACCAGAAACAAAATTGTAGACCTGCACCAGGCTGGGAAGACTGAATCTGCAATAGGCAAGCAGCTTGGTGTTAACAAATCAACTGTGGGAGCAAATAATTAGAAAATGGAAGACATACAAGACCACTGATAATCTCCCTCGATCTGGGGCTCCACGCAAGATCTCACCCCGTGGGGTCAAAATGATCACAAGAACGGTGAGCAAAAATCCCAGGACCACACGGGGGGACCTAGTGAATGACCTGCAGAGAGCTGGGACCAATGTAACAAAGGCTACCATCAGTAACACACTACGCCGCCAGGGACTCAGATCCTGCAGTGCCAGACGTGTCCCCCTGCTTAAGCCAGTACATGTCCGGGCCCGTCTGAAGTTTGCTAGAGAGCATTTGGATGATCCAGAAGAGGACTGGGAGAATGTCATATGGTCAGATAAAACCAAAATAGAACTGTTTGATAGAAACACAACTCGTCGTGTTTGGAGGAGAGAGAATGCTGAGTTGCATCCAAATAACACCATACCTACTGTGAAGCATGGGGGTGGCAACATAATGCTTTGGGGCTGTTTCTCCGCAAAGGGACCAGGACGACTGATTCATGTACAGGACAGAATGAATGGGGCCATGAATCGTGAGATTTTGAGTGCAAACCTCCTTCCATCAGCAAGGGCATTGAAGATGAAACGTGGCTGGGTCTTCCAACATGACAATGATCCCAAACATACCGCCCGGGCAACGAAGGAGTGGCTTTGTAAAAAGCATTTCAAGGTCCTAGAGTGGCCTAGCCAGTCTCCAGATCTCAACCCCATAGAACACCTTTGGAGGGAGTTGAAAGTCCGTGTTGCCCAGCGACAGCCCCAAAACATCACTGCTCTAGAGGAGATCTGCATGGAGGAATGGGCCAACATACCAGCAACAGTGTGTGCCAACCTTGTGGAGACTTACAGGAAACGTTTGACCTCTGTCATTGCCAACAAAGGATATATAACAAAGTATTGAGATGAACTTTTCATATTGACCAGATACTTATTTTCCACCATAATTTGCAAATAAATTCTTTCCAAATCAGCCAATGTGATTGTCTGGCTTTGTTTTCTCATTTTGTCTCTCATAGTTGAGGTCTAGCTATGATGCCAATTACAGGCCTCTCTCATCTTTTTAAGTGGGAGAACTTGCACAATTGGTGGCTGACTAAATACTTTTTTGCCCCACTGTATATGTATATATATATATATATATATATATATATACTGCATTTTGAAATGCATTTTTATTATGAAATATATGAAAAATATTTTTAGACATACATTTCAAATATACGTTATGTCTTTACAAATACAAATATACATTTTTGAAATGCATTTACAAATATAAGTAAAAATATAGGTTAAAATGACTTTTTTATATGTTAATAAAAATATGAAGAATATATTTTTTTCTTTAAATATATTCTTCAGATTTTTTTTAGCATATAAAAGTCATTTTAACATATTTTTACATATATTTGTAAATGCATTCCAAAAATGTAGATTTGTATGATTAAAGACATACAGTACATTTGAAATGTATCTTTAAAAATATTTTTCATAAATTTTGTAATAAAAACGCATTTCAACATGCAGTATATATATATATATAGAGAGAGAGAGAGAGAGAGAGAGAGAAATACAGCCAAAATTGTAGCATTTCAAATATATGTCAATATATTTGAGAAGAATATTTTTAAAATGTATTTCAAATATATTTTTCTTCCATATGGGTTTGCCCACACCAGATCACATAGTACAAAGGTTTCCTACCATCAGTTTTCAGTGCGTTTCCAAAAGTAGTGCATGCTACTTTTGGCACGGTGCGATTTCAGCTCATTCACAATGAATGGGCAGAAATTGCACCGTACAGAACTGCATGTGAATAGCACAGGAACACATAGCATGTTCTTGTGCGATTCCTAGGGGTTGATTTACTAAAAGCAATTAGACTGTGCACTTTGCAAAGTGCAGTTGTACTCTTCAAGTGCAATTGCTCCAGAGCTTAGTAAATGAAGTACAGCTCTATTTTGAAAAGAATACCCAATCACATGCAGAGAAAATAAAACAAACTGCATTTTTGCTTGTACATGATTGGATGATGGAAGTCAGCAGAGCCTCCGCTCATTTACTACGCCCTGGAGCAACTGCACTTGAAGAGTCTATTTGCCTTTAGTAAATCAACTCCCTAGTGTGAAAGGGCCCTGCATGTGGCATTTTCATAAATATAGTTACATAGTTAGTCTGGCTGAAAAAAGACAAAAGTCCATCCAGTTAAACAATTAAATAAAAAAGTTATAATCTTATACCCACAGGTGATCCAGAGGAAGGCAAAACACCCCATTACCTATAAATGTTATATCCAGTTATATTCTGTGTATCTAAGAAAGAATTCAGAGCTTTTTAATACAATCCACTGAGCTGGCCACAACCAACTCTTGAGGGAGTCTATTCCACATTTTCACAGCTCTCACTGTGAAGAAACCTTTCCGTATTTGGAATTACATTGCTTTTCCTCCAGATGTAAAGAGTGCCCCTTGTCCTCTGTGATGACCTCAGGTTGAATAGCTCTACACCAAGTTCACTATATGAACCACTGATATACAGTCAGGTCCATAAATATTGGGACATCGACACAATTCTAAAATTTTTTGGCTCTATACACCTTGGATTTGAAATGAAACTGCAGACTGTCAACTTTTTAATTTGAGGGTATTACATCCAAATCAGGTGGACGGTGTAGGAATTACAACAGTTTGCATATTTACTGGAGTTTTCGTAGCTGCTGACATTTTTTTTTTTCAGCTGAAACTCCACTTTAGGCTTGGAGACAAATGTTCAGTCACTATCAGGCAGCATATTTTTCTTCTATCAGTAAAGGATAAAGAGAAACAGAGATTATCTACAAAAGTCACAATATTGTAGCAGAAAGATTCTAAAAATCGACAGAAAAGAACAGTGTCTAGCATCAGGATAATAGGATTGTTACCTGGTGCCGCTGTGCCATAACCATACCCCAGATTGGCAATAATGTACGGCTCATTCACAGTGATCCAGAATTTCACTTTGTCACCCAGTCTCTGGAAGAGCAGATCAGATCATAATCTCGATCCCTATATCTTGCAACTATTGTCTCGTTCTCCCAACCTCCTACATCTTGAAGAGCTTGTGGTAAGTCCCAGTGATATATTGTCACCTAGGCAGAGGGACAAAAATATTGTGAAAAGATTAAACCTGATTGGTCACCATATCCAACAACCCTGTTTGTGCATTCCCTTTCTTGTCTCCAGATTTTTATGTATTCGGCCCATTTGTGCAGGAATTCAAATTTAATGTTGAACCAAAGGCAGATATGTATTTTTAGATTTGTACCGAAATCTGTCTGGGAATTCTGGGGGTGGGTGGGGTGAAGTGGTGACAAACAGGAGAGAGATTTGTGCACACCACTTCAGGCTGGGCCAATTGGTATCAGTCCCTCCACTAAGTAACGGTCTGGTCTGCATCCACCAATAATCCAGAGAAAACAAAAGGTGAAATAGGGAATCTTGCAAACTTTTATTGGATGTATAACATATCAAAATTAAATCACAGCTCCAAATGAATAGGGAACAGCAGTCGTTTAGGACAAAGTACAGATTACATGAAACACGTTAATTGCTTTTCCCTATCTGTCACGTACCTGATTGGAGACTGAAATGACAAGGTCGGCCTCACTTGTGTCACCAGCCCTGACCCCACTGGAAGTGGAACAGAGGGTGTCTAGGGACCAGGGGGACAAGAGCGCCAGAAGATGTTGTTTGCAGCTCTGGCAGTTGGAGACTTTGGAAGACTGATGAACCTCTGATTCAGGCACAGTAGTGATATGCAGAGCTGGTATGGTAGGTCGCTAGGTGTGCACCAGAGCAAGGCAGGAAGCAGGGATGGGAGACAGGAGCAGTATCAAAGGAATAGCCAGGGTCATCAACGGGCGGACAGCGAGGTACCAAATCATAAGCAAGTCAAAGTCAGAAGCAAAGCCGAAGTCAGGAACCAGTATCAAGCAGGAGAGTAATCAGAGTCAGGTCAGGAACAAGCCGGGTCAGCAACAAGGAAATCACACAGGAACAAGCAGGAAACAGGGAACAGCTGAAGACCAGTCAGCACTCAGCACAGGCAGAGGCACCTTTTAAATAGTCCGTCTGGCCCCAATCTTCACTGTGTGTGTGCACATGCGTTTGCCTGATCGTGCATTTCTGTGCACATGCACACGTCTATTCACCAGCCGTCGCACGGGAATTCCGTTACACTATCCATTGTGATGTTGTTTTGATATGCTATACACCCAATAAAAGTTTGCATGATTCCCTGTTTCACTGGAGTGCCGTCAACCCTTTTGTTTTCTTGAGGTGGTGACAAAAGAATTATAAAAGTTAGAAGATCACATGTTCCATTATTCATTTTTTATATTGTAAGCGGGTTTAAAAATATGAAAACCAGTTGTAACAATTTCTATTATTTTTAGGGGGGCAAAAATTATGCAAAATTTTAACTGCATTATACATTACTAGAAAACAGCCCTGTTGTACGCTGTAAACTTTCCTGGTTGTCAGCCCCATGAAGCAACCCCCAAATGTCAGTTCCGACTTCTTTGTGAAGGATGTCTAGGAAGAGGGCCTTTCTCGTAAAAAGGTCCATGAAGGTGAGGACCTTTTTACATGAAAAGGGACGTAAGCAACTAAAGGTCCATGAAGGTGAGGACAAAAGGCTTTTTACATGAAAAGGGACCACTGTGGTGAGAGCAAAGGGCCTTTCTGGTGATAAAGGTCCATGAAGGTGAGGACAAAAGGCTTTTTACGTGAAATGGGACCACTGAGGTGAGAGCAAAGGGCCTTTCTCGTGATAAAGGTCCATAAAGGTAAGGACAAAAGGCTTTTTACGTGAAATAAGGACCACTGAGGTGAGAGCAAAGGGCCTTTCTTGTGATAAAGGTCCAAGAAGGTGAGGTCAAAAGTCTTTTTTACATGAAAAGGGACCACTGAGGTGAGAGCAAGGGGCCTTTCTCGTGATAAAGGTCCATGAAGGTGAGGACAAAAGGCTTTTTACATGAACAGGGACCACTAAAGTGAGAGCAACGGGCCTTTCCCATGGTAAAGGTCCAAGAGGGCAAAGGGTTTTTTTGTCATCGTAAGGGTTTGTTAGTAGAGAGAGGGTAAAGGACTTTTCTCTTAATAGGAGTTCTTAAAGCAGAGGACAAATGGCTTTTGTTTCTTTTTTTTTTTTTGAGATGTCTTCTATTACCTGTGGTATAATATTGGCAGCCAAAAGAGCATCCACCAGACGGATGTAGTAATTAAACCCTGGTTCATTGACGAAGTTCCGTGTTCCATCTGGGAGGATCCTTGACCAAGAAATAGAGAAGCGATAATGTGTGACTTTGAGATTTTTAAGACTGTTCATATCTTGCTCAAGTCGGTTGTAGCTATCACAGGCTACATCACCATTGTCATCACTGTCAATCCTCAATGGAAGATGCGTGAACTTATCCCAGATACTGAATCCTTTTCCATCAGCCCTCCAGGCACCTTCGATCTGAAGGACACAAAGGTCAGAAATGTTTGAGTACCACGTATAAGAGTGACTAAATTGAGTAAAAGAACTGTGTGTTCTCCATTGCAACCAAATCCTTCCTCATGCAGGTGATACAGTCATGCGTAATATATTATAGATTTGCAGGAAAGGAATAGTAGCAACCATAATTATGATCGCTAGCTTGGTTTATTTTTCCATAATCCCATGTTTAAATGTAACAAGCTTAACCTTGTTTTAGGCTGCATTCACACTTGAGGGTTCGGTAGCTTGAATCTCCAAGCTCCACAAACGCTCAAACTTAAAAAATCAATTGTTCTCTATGGTGCCTGTTCGCGTGATCAGGTGTGAACAGGCACCATGGAGAACAACACAACAATACATAGTGACACATAGTTAGTCTGGCTAAAAAAAGACAAAAGTCCATCCAGTTCAACCATAGAAAAAAAAAAGTTATAATCCTATTCCCATTGTTGATCCAGAGGAAGGCAAAAAAACCCAGCAAAGCATGATCCAATTTGCTCCTGCTAGGAAAAAAATTTCTTCCTGATCCCCGGAGAGGCAATTGGATATTCCCTGGATCAACTTTACCTATAAATGTTATATCCAGTTATATTCAGTGTATCTAAGAAAGAATCCAGGACTTTTTTGAAGCAATCCACTGAGCTGACTAGAACCAACTCTTGAGGGAGTCTATTCCACATTTTCACAGCTCTTACTGTGAAGAAACCTTTCCGTGTTTGGAGATTAAATTTCTTTTCCTCCAGAAGTAAAGAGTGCCCCCTTGTCCTCTGTGATGACCTCAGGGTGAATAGCTCTACACCGAGTTCACTATATGAACCACTGATGTATTATACATGGAGATCATATCCCCCCTTATGTATTATACATGGAGATCGTATCCCCCTTATGTATTATACATGGAGATCCTATCCCCCCTTATGTATTATACATGGAGATCATATCCCCCCTTATGTATTATACATGGAGATCATATCCCCCTTATGTATTATACATGGAGATCATATCCCCCCTTATGTATTATACATGGAGATTATATCCCCCCTTATGTATTATACATGGAGATCATATCCCCCCTTATGTATTATGCATGGAGATTATATCCCCCCTTATGTATTATACATGGAGATCATATCCCCCCTGTATGTATTATACATGGTGATCATATCCCCCCTTATGTATTATACATGGAGATCATATCCCCCCTTATGTATTATACATGGTGATCATATCCCCCTTATGTATTATACATGGAGATCATATCCCCCCCTTATGTATTATACATGGAGATCATATCCCCCCTTATGTATTATACATGGAGATCATATCCCCCCTATGTATTATACATGGAGATCATATCCCCCCTTATGTATTATACATGGAGATCATATCCCCCCTTATGTATTATACATGGAGATCATATCCCCCTTATGTATTATACATGGAGATCATATCCCCCCCTTATGTATTATACATGGAGATCATATCCCCCCTTATGTATTATACATGGTGATCATATCCCCCTTATGTATTATACATGGAGATCATATCCCCCCTTATGTATTATACATGGAGATCATATCCCCCCTTATATATTATACATGGTGATCATATCCCCCCTTATATATTGTACATGTTTATTCTCTCAAGAGATAATAAATTCAGTTCCTCTAATCTTTCCTCATAGCTGAGCTCCTCCATGCCTCTTATCAGTTTGGTTTCCCTTCTCTGTACTTTCTCCAGTTCCCCAATGTTCTTTTTGTGAATTGGGGCCCAAAACTGAACTACATATTCCAGATGAGGTCTTACTAATGATTTGTACCGGGGAAATATGATATCTCTCTCTCTCTGGAGTCTCTTAATGTAAGAGAGGATTTTGCTCACTTTAGAAACCGCAGCTTAGCATTGCATGCGATTGATTTTTTTTTAAGTTTGAGTTTTTTTGTAGCTTCGAGCTGCAAGCTACAAAACACTCAAGTGTGAATGCAGCCTCAGGATTTGGAAAAGAGTGAGAAAGGGTAGAACCTCTTCCAGGCTTTTATAGCTGCCCCAACCTTCAACAGAACAGGGTGTGAAGAGAGGTCTCAACAAGTAACAAAGGGTTAGAACCCCTGTTTGTTTTTTTATTGCTGTATGTGTCCCCATTGGTGGCTCTTTACTTCCTGTCTTGGTGACACCCCCTTTGTTAAAGTGGGACAGGGTATCACTAAGTGAGGAAGTGAAGGGAAATCTTACCAAATGAGGCACAGACAGCAATAAAAACTTGAAATGTGAAAGCTAAACTTCAAGGAAATGACTCTTGCAATGGGGCTGTCACTGAATTGCAAGGATTAAATGATCCATTATGCGTAGGATGGAAGCCACTTCTCTTCGGCACGCCATCCATTGGTCACACTCTGACTTCATCACATACAATGCAGGAGCAGCAATCCTGCACTGTAGGTAGGGAAGCTGAGGGCCTGTCCACAACCTGGAGCATTGGAGGGAAGAGGAAAGCACCAGGAAGCGAAGGATAAGGTAAGTAAAACTGATTTTTATTGTTCTCCTAGACCAGCAATGGGCAAACTAGGGCCCGCGGGCCATATACGGCCCAGCGGACCTTTTAATCCGGCCCGCGGAGCGTGATACTGTCAGGATGGCTGTCAGGATGTGTGTAGGTGGGGCAGCGTGACGAACGTGAGGGGAGGGGAGCTAGGCTCCTCTCACAGTCCGCCCTGAAGACCGGAACGGTGCGGGAACACGGCGAGAGGAACGCGCGGAGCAAAGGTAAGTAAATTGACACAGGGGGACTTGGGGACTTAATATGGGGGATGAATTAATATGGGGAATGAATTACTATAGGGGGGATGAATTACTATAGGGGGGATGAATTACTATGGGGGGATGAATTACTATAGGGGGATGAATTACTATAGGGGGGATGAATTACTATAGGGGATGAATTACTATGGGGGATGAATTACTATATGGGGATGAATTACTATATGGGGGATGAATTACTATGGGGGATGAATTACTACTATGGGGGATGAATTACTATGGGGGGATGAATTACTATATGGGGGATGAATTACTATATGGGGGATGAATTACTATGGGGGATGAATTACTATGGGGGATGAATTACTATGGGGGATGAATTACTATGGGGGATGAATTACTATGGGGGATGGATTAATTGGGGGATGAATTACTATATGGGGGATTAATTACTATGGGGGATGAATTACTATGGGGGATGAATTACTATATGGGGGATTAATTACTATGCTTACTATGGGGGAATATTACTATACTTACTATGGATGACACATACACATCATTCATCTACTCTTGGTCCGGCCCCCGGGTCCAATATATGAACCCATTGCGGCCCTCAAGTCAAAAGGTTTGCCCACCCCTGTCCTAGACAAAAACAAGTGATTAACCCTTGTGTTGAGCAGAGAGCCACACTTCAAGGGTAATTTTTACATTTTCCCAGAGTTTAGATTTAGGCCTCATGCACACTGTAGCTGTCAAACGCCCATTTTACAGATATTTGACGTTTTCTATTTCTTCTCCTAAATGCCCCTCTATGTTAGCCTATGTGTCCATGCACACATAGGCATTAACAGGCATTTAGGGGCAGAATTAAGAATGCAACTAAATCACGCTCAGGGGAGAAGCATTTGGGCAGAAAAAACACCCAAAGCGCCTAAACGCATATCAACATTCCTAAATGCTAGAAGCATTTAGCACTTGATCGGTAATTAATGTCAATGGCCAGAATAAATTATTATTTTGGCCAATGAAATGAATGAATGCCCAAATGCTTGAGGCGTTTGAAAAATGCAGCTTTAGGTGCATTTTTATCATTGCTTGTCTCCTGGCAGGAGAAAGGCGTTCAGAAGAGTCTACTGTACGTGAGGCCTAATGTTTCCCCACTGTATCCAACAGTGATGAAAAAAAAAAAATTGGCTAGATTTGGGTTTAAACCAAAATCTAGCCAAAATTTTTTTCTGACTTAAATCAGACATTTCTGCCTTAAATCACAAGTCATGTACTCTGTTCCTTTTTGCTAGTCACTTATGACCAATGCCTCTACTTAAAGTGGTTCTGAAGGCAGAGGTTTTTCTTGCCTTAATGCATTCTCTGCATTAACCTGTTCACACTGACAGTATGCAAAGATCCGACCTCTCGACGGCTTGGCCTTGACACCAAGAGGCCACATATTTGCGTACCAAATGCGTTCCCACATTTACCGGTGCCTAGCGGAAAGGTCCCGATCACTACATTTGATTGGGACCTTTCCGATCAAGTGACTGCTGTGACAGCCAATCACGGCGGTCACATGACCCTAAACCCAGCTACAGCTTCTGGAGTCACAAACCCCTTAAAGGGCCAGGAGGTGTCGGCACCAAGGGGTTAAGGTACAAATCCTTCTGCATGCATCTCTTCTCCCCAGGTCCCCATTAATACTTACCTGAGCCCCATTTTGATACAGCAATGTGAAGGAGAGCAAGAGCTTTCTTAGCTCTCTCCCTCCTCATTGGCTCAGAGACAGCAGTGAGAGCCATTGGCCCCTGCTGCTGTCAATAAAGAGCCAGTGAGCAGAGAGTGGGGTGGTGAGGCTTAGTCATGCTCTGTGTGTCTAGCAGACATGAGTGCCCCATAGCAAGCCACTTGCTACTGGGGCACTCTGCAAGGGGGAGGAGCAAGGAGTGCCGGTGTGTAACCCAAGAAGAGGGGGAATTGGGGCTGCTCTGTGCAAAACCATTGCGCAGAGCAGGTAACTATAACATGTTTGTTATTTAAAAAAATTCAAATTGTGAATACACCTGTAATTATCTGTGGCTTATACAGTCAGGACCAGGGGCCGACTGACAACTCATGGGGCCCCTAGGCAATAGGGGATCATGATGCCCCTGTGTCCTTGCCCAAACTCAAAAAAGCCTATGAAAAAGGTACCGGGGCATCTCATGGGGCCCCCTACTGACCCCGGGCCCTCAGGCAGTGCCCGAGTTTCCAAATGGTCAGTGCGCCCCTGGTCAGGACCACTCAAAAAAACAAGTGCTCAGAAAAAAGGCTAAAATGCAGCACAATGTAGAGATCATAGGCATTAATTCCATAGAGTTCTTTATTTCACCATATTTTTCTCTCTTTACTTCCTGATTCGCTGCCAAGTTACATCACCTGGTAGGATGCTGAGGCCACGCTCCACGCAAAGTCTGGTCGAAACTCTCCATATAGAAACTTGTCTTCTTCTTTCAGAGGGAAACCTTTGTCTCGAATGATCTCAGCATAGTAAATGGCAGATCTTTTAGCTGTCCTCGGGCGGTTGGGGTTATTGAAGTCCACATGGTGTAGCCCAAAACGCACGGAGTACCCAGAATTCCATTCAAAGGTGTCCATCAAAGACCAGGCTGTGTAGCCCTTAAGATTCACCCCGTCTAAGGAGTAAGCTGTACAATAAATAATAGTTACTTCTGATCTCTGGGTGACTGGTGGCTTTGGTCACAGCACAAAAAAAATCAATACTGCATTAAGAAATAGGGGTCCATTCTCACCCCAGCACCGGTATTGTCATGAGCATTGGTGTGCGCGTTTTATTGTACAATGCATTGTTCATACACACTACTGTGCATATTTTTAAAAAAATTATATTTTAAAAATATATATTTTTAAAATATATTCTACAGATTTTTTTTAATATAAAAAAGTAATTTTAACATATATTTTTACTTATATTTGTAAATGTATTCCACAAAATGTCGATTTGTATTTTTAAAGACATACAGTATATTTGAAATGTATTTTTAAAAATGCTTTTCATATATTTTGTAATAAAAACGCATTTCAACATATATATATATATATATATAGAGAGAGAGAGAGAGAGAGAGAGAGAGAAATATAGAGAGAATATGGCCAAAATTTTAGCATTTCAAATATATGCCAATATAATTGGGAAGAATATTTGTAAAATATATTTTTCTTTCATTTGGGTACCAGCATGTCTTTGTGGTGTGGGAGGAAACTGGAGTACTTGGAGGAAACCCACACAGGCACAGGGAGAACATGCAAGCTACAGGCAGGTGGTGCTGTGTGGTTGGGATTTGAACCAATGACCCTAGTACTGCCAGGTGGAAGTTCTAACCATTTAGCCACTGTGCTGCCTCTACTAGGCATATACTGCCCCTACTAGGCATATACTGCCCCTACTAGGCATATACTGTAGGTTTATCTAGGTTATTCAATTGGTTGACTATCTCCACCCAAAACTTTTTTCTTTCAGTTTTGGATAGCGTCTATAGGGGAGAGTTACTAAAACTTTAGCGTGTAAAATCTGGTGCAGCTCTGCAGCAATCATCTTCCAGGTTTTAGCCCTGGTTCGCACTGCATGACAAGTCAAAACACATTTATTTCAATCGCGCCCATTCCAATCAATGTGACTCAAACCGCATCGACTTCAGAAAAGGTGTTTGCACTATTTTTATGCGACTTCAATGCAACTTAGAGCTCCATGGACTCTAATGTCGCATGAAAGTCACACTGCAGAGTTGCTCTGGAAATCACATGATGATGGGGTTGCAGCAGTGTGAACCAAGCCTTATTGTCAAAGCTTAACCACATGCTGACCCACCAGCAGTAATTTTACTGTGGGCGGGTAGCATGTACAGGCACCGTCACATACCTGTACGTCGGGAGCTTTCTTCTGGGTTCAGGGCGCATGCCCCCCTTTCTACCACACTGCCGACTCCCACTGTGATTGGACACAGCAGGATTTTGTCAGCAGGTTTCAGCCAATGATTTCTGGCTAAAACCTGCTGATTGTGTGTGTCCAATGACAGCCTAGAGCCCTTTGTTGACAAACACATAGGGCTTTGTACAGATGGAGCAATCTATTTCTTCTCTCTGCATTGCAAGGAACAAACAGCTTTTTTTTAATAAAAAGAAGCACTTTTTACACACATTAACACTTGTTAGGCACACAGTTAACCCATTGATTACTCTGAGATGTTAACCCCTTCCCAGACAGTATCATTAGTACAGTGATAGTGTATAATATGATTACTGATCACTATTAGTGTCACTGGTGATGTCAGTGTCAGTTAGTCAGTTAGTGTATCTCCCATCCAGTGTCAAATAGTGTCAGATTTCCCGCCGCAGTATTACAGTCCTACTATAACTCTCTGATCACCGCCATTACTAGTATAAAAAAAATAAATAAAGATGCCAGTATATATACCATAGTTTGTAAAGGCTATAACTTTCACACAAACCAGTCAATATGCACTTATTAGGATTTTTTTTTTTTTTTTTTTTACCAAAGACATACATCAGCATACATTTGGCCAAATTTTATGAAGACATTAGAATTTTTTTATTTTTTTTTTCCTGGATATGTTTTATAGCAGATAGTAAAAAAAAATGTTTTTTTCAAAATTTTTTTGGTCTTTTTATGTCTATATCGCAAAACATAAAAAAATCAGTGGTGATCAAATGCCACCAAAAGAAAGCTTTATTTGTGTGAATCAAATGAATAAATTTAGTTTGGGTACAGTGTTGCATGACAGCGCAATTACCAGTTAAAATATCGCAGTGCTGAATAGCAAAAAATGGCCTGGTCATGAAAGGGGGAAAATATTCTTGCCTAAAAAATATTGTTTTTTATTTTTGTCTGTTTTCATTATATACAATAATAAAATAAATAAATAAATAAACCTCTGTGGTAATAAAATACCACCAAAAGAAAGCTCTATAAGTGTGAAAAAAAATTATATAAATTTCATTTGGGTACAGCATTGCATGACCAAGCAATTACAATTAAAGAAGCGCTGTGCTAAAGAGTAAAAAAATGGCCTGGTCATGAAGGGGGTAAAATGTTCTTGCCTAAAAAATATTGTTTATTGTTTTTTTTTTGTCTTTTTTCATTATTTACAATAATATAAAAATAAATCTAAAACCCCTGTGGTAATCAAATACTACCAAAAGAGAGCTCTATTTGTGTGAAAAAAATTATATAAATTTTGTTTGGGTACAGTGTTGCATGACAGCGCAATTACCAGTTAAAATATCGCAGCGCTGAATAGCAAAAAATGGCCTGGTAATGAAGGAAGCAAAATGCTCTTGCCTAAAAAATGTTTTTTATTGTTATTTTTTTTGTCTTTTTTCATTATATACAATACAAAAATAAATAATTAAAAAAAAAATTGGTAATCAAATACCACTAAAAGAAAGCTCTATTTGTGTGAAAAAAAAATTATATAAATTTAATTTGGGTACAGCGTTGCATGACCAAGCAATTACAATTAAAGAAGCGCTGTGCTAAAGAGTAAAACATGGCCTGGTCATGAAGGGGGTAAAATGTTCTTGCCTAAAAAATATTGTTTATTGTTATTTTTTTTTTGCTTTTTTCATTATATACAATAATATAAAAATAAATAAATAAAAAAAACCCTGTGGTAATCAAATACCACCAAAAGAAAGCTCTATTTGTGTGAAAAAAAATGATAGAAATTGTGTTTGGTAATTGCGCTGTCATGCAACACTGTACCCAAACACAATTTATATCATTTTTTTCACACAAATAGAGCTTTCTTTTGGTGGTATTTGATTACCACAGGGATTTTTTATTTATTTTTATTTTTATATTATTGTATATAATGAAAAAAGCAAAGAAAAAAAATAACAATAAACAATATTTTTTAGGCAAGAACATTTTACCCCTTCATGACCAGGCCATGTTTTACTCTTTAGCACAGTGCTTCTTTAATTGTAATTGCTTGGTCATGCAACGCTGTACCCAAATTAAATTTATATAATTTTTTTTTCACACAAATAGAGCTTTCTTTTAGTGGTATTCGATTACCAATTTTTTTTTTAATTATTTATTTTTGTATTGTATATAATGAAAAAAGATAAAAAAAAATAACAATAAACAACATTTTTTAGGCAAGAACATTTTACCCCCTTCATGACCAGGCCATTTTTTGCTATTCAGCACTGCGATATTTTAACTGGTAATTGTGCTGTCATGCAACACTGTACCCAGTTAAAATATCGCAGTGCTGAATAGCAAAAAATGGCCTGGTCATGAAGGGGGTAAAATGTTCTTGCCTAAAAAATATTGTTTATTTTCTTTTTTGTCTTTTTCATTATATGCAATAAATAAAAAAAACCCAGTGGTAATCAAATACTACTAAAAGAAAGCTATATTTGTGTAGAAAAAAATGATATACATTTCATTTGGGTACAGCGTTGCATGACCGAGCAATTACAATTAAACACGTGCTATGCTAAAGAGTAAAAAATGGCCTGGTCATGAAGGGGGTAAAATGTTCTTGCCTAAAAAATATTGTTTATTGTTATTTTTTTTGTCTTTTTTCATTATATACAATAATACAAAAACAAATAAATAAAAACCCCTGTGGTAATCAAATACCACCAAAAGAAAGCTCTATAAGTGTGAAAAAAAATTATATAAATTTCATTTGGGTACAGCATTGCATGACCAAGCAATTACAATTAAAGAAGGGCTGTGCTAAAGAGTAAAAAATGGCCTGGTCATGAAGGGGGTAAAATGTTCTTGCCTAAAAAATATTGTTTATTGTTTTTTTTTGTCTTTTTTCATTATTTACAATAATATAAAAAAAAATCTAAAACCCCTGTGGTAATCAAATACTACCAAAAGAGAGCTCTATTTGTGTGGAAAAAGTATATAAATTTAATTTGGGTACAGCGTTGCATGACCGAGTAATTACAATTAAAGCAGCGCTGTGATAAACAATAAAAAATGGCCTGGTCACCAGGCGGGTAAAACGTTCCAGTGCTCAAGTGATTTATTGAAGGTACAGCGTTGCATGACTGAGTAATTACAATTAAAGCAGCGCTGTGCTAAAGAATAAAAGATGGCCTGGTCACCAGGCAGGTAAAACGTTCCAGTGCTCAAGTGATTTATTGAAGTTAGAAGATGATTGGCTTCCATGCAGAGCTGCACCAGATTCTGGGCCACCGTTGTAGTAAATCTCCCCCAGTGTCTCCTCTGTGATTTCTCCTCACTTCCTATACTGGATCCTCTTATAACAGAAAGCAATAGAAAACATGGCAAAGGTTCTAACATTCTAATGGACTACAAAATAGGTCTTTATGTTGGAGTTTGTGTTCCCATTGGAAAGATTTTCTTCCTAACTCACTTACTTACAAAAACTTAAAAAAAATACAAAAAAAAAATTTTCCTTCATTATCATATTAATACATTAAACTGGACAATGCATGTAACTGTAGATTGTTCCTGAAGAAGGGGTAGCACACGATTTCGTTGGTTGCAACAGCACATTGTTTTTGTCCTTTATTGGCACATCTGAGTACCTAGTCATACTGATTAAATACTGAAAAAGCCACTAGGCCATATTTGATAGAAATGACAGAGACAGGAATACATCGTATATTAAAACCTACCTTTTAAAGCCTCATCGATATAGGTCTTGTAGAAAAATATGCGAGCAGTGTCTTCATAATCAGGGCTACTGCTAGTGGCAACTCCATTTTCAGTGATGTATATGGCAACATCTCCGTATTCTTCTTTTACCCAGTTAAGCAGTCTCCTTGTCCCCCAAGCTACTGCCCTTTGCACGGAAATTGCTGTTGTTGGCCAGTTATTGTTAACCTCTGTTTCCAGGTCTATATCATTTTCAAAAGATTCCGGGGTCAACCTGAGTGTTTTGTGCTTAACTATTTTGGTGGTGTAGATGTTAATAGAGAAGACATCAGCTGTGCCCTGGATGTAGGCCTTCTCTTCCTCTGTAAAAGCTGGAAGCCTTGAAGTTGGGAGACCCTGCAGGGCACTCTTGTTAGCCACTTGCCACTTCATGGCCTCTGGGTAATCACCATTTTTGAAGATGGGGTGAGCAAACCACCCCAGAGTAAACTGCAGGTAGCGGTCAGCGGCATCGATGTCCCTCTGTAGCTGGTAGTCTTTAGGTTCTACCCACTCTGTGTTGAGGCTCAGTGAGATTACACCTCCTTGGCTACCTCGATAATTCTCATCATAGGTATGGTAGACCCTGGCATGGACCTTCAGCAAGTTGTGTGCTACTCTATATGGAGCAGAACCAGGCTCCTTTATAGAAGGTGGGATCAGACCAAGGCCATAACCAGCTGTCACGATGCTGTGAGGCTGGTTAAATGTCATCCAGAACTTGACTCTATCTCCAAATGTCTTAAAACAAAAGTCTGCATAGTTATGAAAAGCATCAAGGACTGTATCATTCTGCCAGCCACCCAAATCCTCTAGGGCTTGAGGAAGATCGTAGTGGAATAGAGTGACCATTGGAGAGATGTTGTTTGCTAGAAGGCCATCAATAAGTTTATTGTAATACTCAACACCTTTATCATTGGGCGTGCCTTGCCCTGCTGGGAAGATTCTGGACCATGAAATAGAGAATCGGTAACTGTTCACTCCTAGAGACTTTAACATGTAGAGGTCAGCATCTAACTGGTGGTAACTATCACATGCTATGTCACCAGTGGCATTATTTTCAATATTTCCCGGAATTTTGGTGAATTTGTCCCAGGTACTTGGCCCTTTTCCATCTGCATCCCATCCTCCTTCCACCTGATAAGCCGATGTTGACACTCCCCATTTAAAATCATGTGGAAAGGTAGCATAATGATACATGTCTCTTTCAAAGGCAGTTTGCCCTGAAAATTTCTCCCACACAACTTTTGCCTTTGATGGGACATTTGAAGCTGAGAGGGGTGCTAGCTTTCTTGCAGATGGCCAACTTATGCTTGAAGCTTTGGGATTAGCGGACTTAGATTTTGTAAAACCATTATTCTCAATAATTGAGTTGAATAAATATGCAGATTTCTTGGGAGTCCGTTGTCTGTTTGAATTCCCAAAATCCACATAATGAAGACCAAACCTCTGGCTGTATCCCTGAGGACCCTCAAACCCATCCAGCAGGGACCGGACTACATATGAATTTACGGATACATTATCAGTCTTGATGGCTGCAAAAAAAAAAACATTTCAAGAATGTAAGTCGGAACTGAGGTCATTGAGGAGTGTCGTTTTGCCTGAAACTTGGTGGAGTTAAAGAATAGGTCTCTCTGAAATTAGATTTACACACCTCTGCAACACAGTACAACTCTGTCTAACAGGATAGGAGACCTGATTTTCCTCTGCTGCTGTTAAAGAAGTTCTCAAGGCAGAACGTTTTTACCTTAATGCATTCTATGCATTAAGGTAAAAAACCTTCTGGATGCAGCTCCCCCCCCCCCAGACTCCCCATTATACTTATCTGAACCCCATCTCGAGCCAGCACTGTGCATGAGAGCAGTGGCTCTCCTGGGTCTCTTTCTTCCTATTGGCTCACACAGCAGCAAGAGCTATTGGTTCCTGCTGCTGTCAATCACGGCCCGTGAGCCGATGAGAAAAGAGTGGGTATGGGATCAAGACACGAGATGGACAATGTCCATTCACAAGAGCACGACTTAGACACTTTTAAAATCCTGCCATAGACAGTAATGTAGACCAGCCTTTTTCAACCAGGGTGCCTTCAGGTGTCTTCAGGGGTGCCTTGGCAAAATGCCTAAAAATTGCCCAAAAATTGTATACAAGCCAGCCGGAGGATCAAGCCTGCCTTTTAATTACATAAAGCCAAAGGTTTTTATTGTTCACCATTACAACCTTTTAGACGATGACGTCCTAACAACCAATGATGTCATTTATTGATAAGGAGGACATTGGATGTCTACATAACATCCTTGTTTGCTCCTCCTTTGCCCCCTCCGCCAGCAATGGGGTCACATTAGCGGAGTGAGGGAGAGCAACTAAGGGAGAAGAGAAACATTGAAATACTAGTCAGTAAGTACCAGTTTGTGAAAATATATTTGCTTTGGAGGGATATATCACCTCTAACGTTTGGTGTCCTGTATGTGTGGATGTTGCTGCACCAAGTAAGACAATTATTTTTGTTTTTTTTTACATTTTAGAATAGAGTGACTCGAGATTGTGCAGATTTTACAGGGTGCCTTGACTGAAAAAGATTGAGAAACACTGATGTAGACTATATTCTACTAAATCCATAACCAGGGGCGGACTGACCATTTAAGCACTCGGGCACTGCCCGAAGGCCCAGGGTCAGTAGGGGGCCCCATGAGATGCCCCTGGTACCTTTTCTAGGCTTTTTTGGGCGTGGTTTGAGTGTGGGCAAGGACACAGGGGCCCCATGATCCCCTATTGCCCGGGGGCCCCATGCGTTGTCAGTCCGCCCCTGTCCATAACTATATTGTTATGAACTTTTTTTGCTATAACATTTAAATACATTACCTTTAAGGGCCTCATTGACATAGGCATTCAGGTACTCTGCTCTTTCTTTGTCATTGAAAGCATCTCCAGTCATGGACGCTGGCATTCCATTTCCGGTTATGTATATTGACAGACCTGTTTTCCAATACTCTTCCTTGACAAAATTTAGAAGCCTCCTAAAGCCCCATGGCACTACTGAGATCCATGAAGAGGCGGTGGTTGGCCAAGAAGGATCGACATGTTGAGAAAACCCTCCAATAAAATCATAACTGTTCTCGCAAACAGAGCTGCTGGAAGCGTTGATTAGCCGGGATGTGTAGTGGGAGATGCCGATAAAGTCTGCAGTTCCCTGAATATAGGTCTTCTCAGCTTCACTGAAGGTGGGCAGTGGAGCCACTATGTTGGGGCACTGGATATTTTTCTGGTGTACCTGTGCCTTCAGAACCTCTGGGTAATCTCCGTTCGCCAGAATAGGATGAGCGAACCATCCCAGCATGAACTGGACATATCGCTCTGCAGCGCTCACACTTTCTGGGTCATTGGCAGTTTCCGGCTCTGCCCAATCGGAATTCAAAGAGATGCCCACCAGCCCATGCTGTTGGCCACGGTAGTTATCATTGTAGATGTGCCAGGCCTTGGCATGAGCTTTCACAATGTTGTGAGTCACCTTTATAAGAAAGAATTGGATTAAAACAGTGGTATTGCATGTTACATGTTAACATGTTAGTGCAGCACTGCATTTTTAAAACAAAAGGCTTTCATATATAACTATTTCCAACAAACACATAAACAAGGAATATATACATTTTATGACAGTGGGTGCCATGGACCATTTTACTGTTTGACAGTACATATAAAACCTGAGTTTATTTGTTCCCATAAGTAAAACACCATGGAAAACATGGCTTCTGTGGAGTAGAGATTGGAGAGCTTTAGAACAGTACAGCCTTTCAATATATGGTGAGACTCTTAGCCAAAGCGATTTTTCTAAAGGTAATCTCTAGGCCTGACCTACTAACCTCCCTCTCCTCCTCTACAGCATGACCCAACAAGCTTCTAAGATTATTGCAGAGGCTGGGAGGAGAGATCAGTAGAATAGGGAACTAGGGAACCTAGGGAACTTCCTAATGAGGTAGGCATGCCCCCCCCCAGAAATACATCTCCCATAAGTCTTTTCATAGCACACAGTATGCATGTGGAAGGAGATAGAAAGGGGCTTAGATAGTTCTGTAGCCCAGCAGGAGAGAACCCAGATAGTGCTGACAATGCTGCTTGGGATTCCAGTGTAGAAGAGAGAAAACTATCAACCTATAAAGTGTGGGGCCGACTTTAACAAGCAGTAGCTATGTTTTAAAACAAACTCTCTCTGACCTCTGTAGCTTCAAGCACTATGGAGTAACTAATCCTCTAAATTTACAGCATACCAGCTGTTTTCCCCCCTGTTAGCACTGAGTTGGCTGCCACCAGCCTCCTAATCTCTAATGTAAACACAAAGCAGTTGCCTTGGGAAGGGGAGTGCTGAGACCTGATTTGGAGAATTCCACTGCTTTCTGAATTTTGAGAATGAATTTCTTCACAGTGCCTGCAGCTACAGATGTCAATGAAGGTCTCTTCTATTAGACCTCATGCACACAGGGCATTTTTGTAGCCACTTTTAGGGGTGTCAGGTCGTTTTTTTTTTTAAACTGCTTGTTAATGCCTCCTCATGTTATCCTAGGTGTTCATGCACACATAGATTTTTAGGAGCTTCTAGTGGCAGCAGCGTTTACAAGCAGGGCAAAAAAACCCCCCAGGGCCAGTGCGTCCAGGAGCAGCAGCGTTTTTTGCAGAAAAAAAAAACCCTTGACGCATGTAAACGTGTGTTAACGCTAGGCGTGTTTAGGGATTGAGGGTTAATTTGTTTTAATGGCCAGAATAAATGATTATTCTGTCCAATTAAATGAATTAACACCCAAGCACTTGACACCTGTAAACATGCCTAAGCGCTTGTAAACGCGTTCGGTACTTTTACGAGCATCAGGCGTCTTTTCAGCAGAAACGCTACCGCCAGTAGGAAGGCTTCTAGAAGAGTTTTTTAATGTCCTGTGTGCACTAGGCATTAAAATGAACAGATATTTTAATTTTTGTAAGAGGTTAATGAGGTAAATTTTTTGAGTGACTGACAAGGTAACTTTAAAACAAAAATGACCTTGTTAGTCACTTAACCTCCTCGGCGGTATGATTATTTCCGATCTTTGGTGCTGAAAGCGGTACCATTTTTTTGCATGGAAATATGTAGTTTTTTATTGTAGGCTGTAATTTTTAGGAATAACTCACTGAAATCTGTTCCAACAAGAGTCTAGTAAACATCCCGGGTATGATAAAACTTGAAACACAAAATCATAAATTATAATTTAATTAATAATCATATAAAATAATAATATAAGAATAATAAATTTAATTCAATAATATAATCAAACCAAAAACACTGAAATTTGAAATACAGAGGCAAATTCGCACATTGCTGAGCAAAGTCGCAAAATCGTTTTCAGTGTCTGATGACGAATTTCCCCCACGAATCATTATCACTCAATTCTGCAAGTGGTTGTAATTTACTATTGCTGTTCTCAAGCCGGTCTAAAACCGCTTTTGACATAAAGGGACGCTTTTTGGACACCATGGACTTTTCTAAGTTTCCAGGCAGAAAGAACAGTCAAAATGCAGGCAGGGCGCAGGACAAAGCACTCGGGACAAAATGTATGTGAAATGTATTGAAACAGCAATGTTTTACTATATAATAATCATTTTTTAAAAAATTACATTTTTTAAAAATTTCAAATTTGCCGCCGGTTCCGGCGCCCGTACGTCCCGACGTCACAGGGACCGGAACACGGAAGCCGGAGGAGATGGCCGGGGACGCTGCAGGGGACACATCGCGGGAGCGAAGGACAAGGTAAGCGCTGCAGGGACTCCCTGAGCAACGCCGCATGGTAAGCCCGAGTGTAGCTCGGGGTTACCGCTCTTGGTACTGAAATTTTACCCCGAGCTACACTCGGGAATACCGCCAGGGAGGTTAAAAAAAATGAAAAAGTTGTTCACTGTAATAGAAGAGTGAGCAAAAGGAGATCCAGGTATCTGACACTCCAGGAAGTGTTGAATGTTTAAGGCACGGCTCTCACTGCCGCGTGTTGGGATCCGACTCGTGACACCCCAAATCGCATGACATGTGAAATCCCTTGAGTCAATGAGAGCTGTCTTAACCTCCCTGGCGGTATGATTATTTCAGATTTTTGGTGCTGAAAGCGGTACCATTTTTTTGCATGGAAATATGTATTTTTTTAATTGTAGGCCTGTAATTTTTAGGAAAAGACTCACTGAAATCTGTCCGAACAAGAGTCTAGTAAACATCCCGGGTATGATAAAATTTGAAACACAAAATCATAAATTATAATTTAATAAATAATCATAAAAATAATAAAAAATGTAATTCAATAATATAATCAAACCAAAATCACCGAAATTTGAAATATAGCGCCAAGTTCGCACATCACTGAGCTCAGTCGCAGAATCGTTTTCAGTGTCTGATGACGAATTTCCCCACGAATCATTATCACTCAATTCTGCAAGTGGTTCTGATTTACTATCGCTGTTCTCCGAACAGACAAAATGCAGGCAGGGCACAGGACAAAGCACTCGGGACAAAATGTATGTGAAATTGGTTGAGACAGCAATGTTTTACTATGTAAAATGTAAAAAAAAAAAAATGACATTTTTTAAAATTTTTAAATTTCCCGCCGCCGGAGGCGGCGGCGCTCGTACGACCCGACGTCACAGGGACAGGACACAGAAGCCGGATGCCAGCATCGGCCGGAGGAGATGGCCGGGGACGCTGCAGGGGACACATCGTGGGAGCGCAGGATAAGGTAAGTGAAGCACAAATACCGGAGCAGTGCCGCATGGTATTCCCGAGTGTAGCTCGGGGTTACCGCTCTTGGTACTGAAATGTTACCCCGAGCTACACTCGGGAATACCGCCAAGGAGGTTAATTGGCACTACTGAAGTCGCTCCGACTTTAGGAAAGGTTCCTGTACTACTTCAAGGCGACTTCTATCTTGTGTCCGTAGACTTTAATAGAAGTCGCCTCCAAGCCAGATCCTCATCTATATTGATGTGATTTGGATCCGACATTACAGGAAGATTACCCAGGCATTCCCTGAAAGTTGCTTCAGAGTTGCTTTGGAGGTGCTTTAGAGTTGCTTCAAAATAGTACTCAAGTCGCCTGGCAAAGCCTCACTGTAAGTCATGCGACTTTCAGGTTGTAGTAGTGTGAACAGAGACTAAGACTTATGAGTATAACAGCTGCATCTCTCTCTCCTGTGAGAAAAGCTATTACAGTTTTTTTAATGTCCATAGTCTGACCACAGTTCAACTTTAACCTGATCATAAAAAGCTACACCATAGCTTGTCTATAAAGAATGACATCATGGAATTTTGGTGTGTGTATGGATATGTATGTATATTTATATATATATATATATATATATATATATATATATATATATATTTCATAAAGCTCTCAAGTTTGTGTACCTTGAATGATGCATTCCCCGGATCCTGAATCTTAGGAGCATGTTCTCCAGTTCCATAACCAGCATAACTGACCACCCAAGGTTCATGGAAGGTGATCCAGTGTTTCACTCGGTCTCCGAAGCTGCTAAAGCAGAAATCAGCATATTCAGCGAACGCATCAATGATGACTTCGTTCTGCCAGCCTCCCGACTCCTGTAAGGCTTGAGGCAGATCCCAGTGGTACAATGTCACCATTGGTTCGATTTGTTCTTCTATTAATCTGTCAATCAGTGTGTTGTAGTATTTCACCCCCTCTGAGCTGACTCTGGACTTAAGTCCTGTTGGGAAGATCCGGGACCAGGAGATGGAGAAATGGTAGGTCTTGGCCTGTAGACCTTTCAACAGATATACATCATAGTCAATCTTGTTGTAGCTATCAGAGGCCACATCTGCAGTAGCATTGTCATGAGAGTGGCCATGTTGTCCAAACACGTCCCAGATAGACTGCCCTCTTCCTCCCTCGGTCCAGCCACCTTCTACTTTAAAGGCTGCGGTAGATGTGCCCCACAAGAAGTCATTTGGAAATGTACCAGGCAAGAAGGCATCACGGTCTGCTGGAGTTTGGCTGGCGAACTTCTCCCACACTGTGGTGAACGCAGACTGTGAGGATAAAGACTTGTCTGGCTGCTCTTTTGACCTGCAATGGAAAAGTAACTAAAGTACGCTTCTTTAAAGTTATCATATGGAAAAAAAAAACGAGTCTTATTGTATTTAGGTGTCCGTTTATGAACCAGCGGTAATAGATCACTGCCCAGTTCTCTGGCATTCTCGGAGAACACAGATCTCCTGTGAATGCCGTTTATGAAGCAGTTCTCCGAACGAAGGGAGAACGGTCTCCAAATGCTGGAGAACGGTCTCCAAACGCTGGAAAACGCTGATTTTACTATAGTCTCACGAGATTAGAGTAAAAGATCAGTTTACTAAGCAGAGGTAAATTATTGCTGCTTAGTTTGCGGTCCCTCCGATTCTCCAGCTCTGGGCTGGAGAATCTGGAGGGAGAACACAGATCTCCAGTGAAGGGCTGAACATGTTCTAGCTGATCTCCTGAGTGTCATAAACTGTGAATGACCAGAGAATAGCTGCGATCCTCTGAATCTCAGCTATTCTCTGTGTCATAATCGGACACCTAAAGCTGGGCCATATGTAGCTATGTAAAAATATACCATACCTGGAATCCTTTGAATATGAATGAATATCACGCTATATACATGTTTTGATGACCATCTGACCAACCAGACTATGTGGAAACTAAACTTACATTTTTATTATTTTGGCATTTTCCTTTGTGTCAACGCTAGGCACAATATTTAGATCTGTCTCTGCTAATTCTTATACCAATTTAAAAAAAAGAATCTTTTCTTCAAAATTCAAGCTGTAGTCTCACCTTATTTTAAAATCATGTGACTGAAACAGAAATTCATTGATGTCGTAGCCCAAGAAAACAGCTCCATTGTCAATCACCGCTGCAAAAATAAAACTTAGGTCAGGAATAGAACATATAGAAATAAAGAACCAGCGCCACGGAAATTGTATAAAACAGTAAGCTGCAAAACCTAGCCTATAAACTTATAGGATATACAAAACTTCAAAAAAATAGGTTGCGCTTAAATACATGCAAAAGTATAACAAGAATATAAATAACAAAACAATAAGAAACAATATTTTAAATCAAAATAAAATCCAGCAAAAACGAAAAAGTCCAAAAGTTCAAATAATCAATAATGTCCAAAATAATTCATCACCAAGTAAATCCACCACCAAAAATGGTTAAATAGAACTCACCAGAGTAATATGCTGATTGTTGAAAAACCAGCATATAGTATTTGTTACTCTGGGAGCAATGATTAATATGGTGACAGCAACACTGAAGAAATGAGGGATGAACTCCAACAGATGATGTGCTGCAAAGCTGAAAATCCAATCCAAAGGTGATAGTATTCAAACTGAGAGATGATCAGACCGTCACTCGAAAGAAAAAAGCAAACAATCATGGTGCAGTATTATTATTATTATTATTATACAGTATTTAGCGCTAAAAGGTTTGCTCTGCGCTGTACATTATAGTGGGGGACAGAACATGAGACAATACAGTAACAATACAATACACGAGGGGGTCAAGGGCCCTGCTCTTTCGAGCTTACAATCAAGGAGGGAGGGGATAGCGGTACAGGAGGAAGTGGCTGTGGGGGATGGAGTGGTAGGAGGAGATCAGTTGTTAGGTGAGGGCGGGGTAGACTTCCCTGAAGAGATGTGTTTTCAGGGTGCGCCTAAAGGTGAGGAGGGTAGGTGACAGTCTGATGGATTGGGGTAGTGAGTTCCAGAGGATGGGGGAAGTCCTGGAGAAGTCCTGCAGTTGGGCGTGGGAGGTGGAGACCAGGGAGCTAGAAAGTAGGAGGTCTTGTGAGGAGCGAAGAGTACGGGTTGGGTGGTATTTGGGTATCAGGTCAGTGAGGTAGTTTGGGGCAGTGTTATGAATGGCTTTGTATGTCAATGTTAGTATTTCAAATTTAATGCGTTGGGCAATAGGGAGCCAGTGGAGGGAATGACAGAGGGGGGTGGCAGAAGCGGAGCGGTTGGTAAGGTGGATGAGTCTGGCCGCTGAGTTCAGGATAGACTGGAGCGGGGATAGCCTGTGTTGGGGTAAGCCGGTGAGGAGGGAGTTGCAGTAGTCCAGACGTGAGATAATAAGGGAGTGAACGAGTAGTTTAGTAGTGTCTGGGGTGAGGAACGAACGTATTTTGGAGATGTTGCAGAGGTGGAGCCTGCATGAGTTTGCCAACGATTGGACATGGGGTTGGAAGGACAGGTTTGAGTCTAGAGTGACACCTAGGACTTTGTCTTGTGGGGTGGGACTGTTGGTGGCATTGTTGGTCATGATGGAGAGGGTTGGGGGGAGGGGGGCACGGGCTGGGGGGAAAATCAGGAGCTCGGTTTTGGAAAGGTTCAATTTGAGGAAATGGAGCGACATCCAGTCTGATATGTCGTTCAGTAGGTGGGTGATACGGGCGGAGACTGAAGGGGTGAGGCGAGGGGTGGAGAGGTAAATTTGTGTGTCATCGGCGTAGAGGTGATAGTTGAAGCCGTGGGAATGTATCAGTTTGCCGAGGGAGGAGGTGTAGATGGAGAAGAGAAGGGGCCCGGAGACAGAGCCTTGGGGGACCCCAACAAAGAGGGGGAGAGAGGGGGAGGTGGTAACGTTATAGGTAACGCTGAAGGAGCGTTGGGATAGGTAGGAGGAGAGCCAGGAGAGAGCAGAATCTCTGATACCGAGGGAGTGTAGTTTGTTAAGGAGGAGGGGGTGGTCGACTGTGTCAAAGGCTGTGTCGAAACTTTAATAAAGAAATGCACTTGCTTGTAAAGTTTGATGTTTTTTAAAACATACTGCACCATGATTGTTCACTTTTTTCTTTCGAGTGACGGTCTGATCATCTCTCAGTTTGGATACTAAATCACCTTTGATGGATTTTCAACTTTGCAGCACATCAGCTGTTGGAGTTCATCCCTCATTTCTTCAGTGTTGTTGTCACCATATTAATCTTTGCTCCCAGAGTAACAAGTACTATATGCTGGTTTTTCAACAATCAGCATATTACTCTGGTGAGTTCTATTTAACCGTTTTTGGTGGTGGATTTACTTGGTGATGAATTATTTTGGACATTATTGATTATTTGAACTTTGGACTTTTTCGTTTTTGCTGGACTTTATTTTGATTTAAAATATTGTTTCTTATTGTTTTGTTATTTATTTTCTTGTTTTACTTTTGCATGTATTTAAGCGCAACCTATTTTGTTTAAGTCAGGAATAGAACATACTGTATGAAGCATGAGCAGAAAGGTTACTCCCACTTGCAACCCTTATTGCTGTGCTGTGACTGGCTGCTTCAGTTTTTGGTGTTTCTGATTGGCTGGGAAAGCTAGTTACAAGACAGCAAGGAGATTGCAAGCTATGACAATGTTCATGAAGTGATAGCTTGTACCTGTTTTGAAGAGTAGCATAGATGAAGGAAAGATTAGACATTTGCAGTTGTGTATATCAACAATTGTAATGAATATGTAAAACCCAACATTTCATATTCCTGATCTGTGCCTGCTGTACCGTGTACTTGTATGAAAAGGTATCCTGTTCTCTTTGTATTGCTTCTTTTGTGTGAAATCCCTTGTGATCTTGCCAGTGACTCTGCTTTCCTATTAAAAACTGACCACACTAGGCATGAGAGCACAGCATGGTCAGTTTTCTAGCTGTGTTGAGAACTTAGTCTGATCTCCTTCAATGATCAGACATATGCTGACATGCCACCCCTACGCAGCCATTCACTGGGAAGACCAGCGCACTGCTGTCCCCATCCCCAGCTCTCTAAGATCTTTTTGCAGCTGAGAACAGAGGGTACATGATCGCTTATAAAAAGGGGAAAATGGTATTTACATTTTTTTTATAGCTATACTCTATATGTTTTGCCTTTCATTATATTTTAAAACTGAACAGGTGAGGGTTTAAATATACTTTAAGTCTATTGCTGAATTTTACCTGAAGTCCTACTCTGGGCACAGCAAAAAGAATACCCTTGCAGGTTAAGTGCTTTTTAAAGTGTTACTAAACCCACACCAGTAAAATCAGTCTGTATATGCAGTAAACCATGCTTGTTATACTCACTGTGGAATCTAAGGGGTTAATCCTCTGCAATTTGTAAAAAGGTTGTTTGATCCTATCCTCTCTGATCCTCTCCTTCTTCCACAGTCCCCAATCCATGTGCTGATAGAAAAGAGTCTTGAGGGCAAGATGCACATGCTCAGTTTGGTGTGTATTGCTAGAGATTTTTTTTTTCTTTTCTTGAGAGAGTGCGTGTGATCAGCACAGGGCCAATCAGCACTGTCCAGACAGAGGGTAAGGGGTTATGCAGCCTCATAGGACAGTCAGAGCAGAATGAAAACTACTCCTACAAACTTTAACCAGTGCTCTGCTGACCACTGATAGACGTCACAAGACTGCTCTAAAATGCTGTTGAGAAAAGGTATTCGCAGTTCATACACTGCTCAAATTAAAGGAACACTTTTTAATCAGAGTATAGCATCAAGTCAATTAAACTCCTGGGATATTGATCTGTTCAGTGAAGTAGCAGAGGGGGTTGTTAATCAGATTCAGTTGCTTTGGTGTTAATGAAATTAACAACAGGTGCACTAGATGGGCAAGAATGAGACAACCCCCAAAACAGGAATGGTTTTACAGGTGGAGGCCACTGACATTTTTTCCCTACTCATCTTTTCTGACTGTTTTTCACTAGTTTTGCATTTGGCTAGGGTCAGTGTCACTACTGGTAGCATGAGGCGACACCTGGACCCTACAGAGGTTGCACAGGCAGTCCAACTCCTCCAGGATGGCACATAAATACGTGCCATTGCCAGAAGGTTTGCTCTCCTAGCACAGTCTCAAGAGCATGGAGGAGATTCCAGGAGACAGGCAGTTACTCTAGGAGAGCTGGACAGGGCTGTAGAAGATCCTTAACTCATCACCAGGACCGGTATCTGCTCCTTTGTACAAGGAGGAACAGGAGGAGCCCTGCCAGAGCCCTACAAAATGACCTCCAGCTTTCCACTGGTGTGAATGTCTCTGAC